CGGCGGGGCTTGTGTCAGGGGTGCGGGGAGAGGCCCTGAGGTGCCAGCTGAGGTGGCTCCTGCTCCCGGGGGTTTCTCTGTCCCAGAGCTGCGCTGCAGATACTGAAGCTGAAGGACTACAGTAAGCAAACGGAATTTTTTAGGTTTTGGTGGTTGTTTGGGGGTTTTATTTTTGGGGTTTTTGTGGGTTTTTTTTGTTTGTTGGTTGGTTTGTTGGTTTGTTGTTTTTTTTTCAGATCCACAAATGGCAGTATGTATTTTCGTTGGCTGTTTTGATTTGGTGTGTCCTTGCTAAAAAACAAAACAAAACAAAACTGGCTTCATCTCTTCAGTAGTATTTTCCTTTTGAAATATCTTTTAAGGTATTTTGCCAGAAGAATCCCAGTTTGGTTGCACTGCCAGGGGATGATGGAGAAATTTAGAACTGTTGGTCAAACTGATAGTACTGGAAGATTGACTGCGTGTTAGCAAGTATTAGTAACTATGCAGCACGAGTTTAGATAGTTTCACATGTTTATTTTAAACAGAGGTTTGATACTGAACTCAAACTTTGACCTTTACAGCCTGCTTTTTTAGCTTCAGCATAAATTCCCTTAGTTACAGTGGCCATAAATAGTTTAATGTGTTTAGATATTTGTCCTAATGCTTCATTTTCTTGCAGAATTTTTCTCTTCTGACCACAACATAAGGGTAGGAATTAAGTACTTTTCTTTATTGAAATAATTTTACTCTTTTTTTTCTTCTTTTTTTGTTTGTTTGTTTTGGAAAGTATTTTCTGACAGCTATGAAATTTCTGTTGGTTTTTGATTTTGACCATACAATCGTAGATGAAAATAGTGATACCTGGATTGTGAAATGTGCTCCTGAGAAAAAACTTCCTAATGGATTAAGAAACTCCTACCAGCCAGGACACTGGACAGAATATATGAGCAGAGTCTTTGTCTACTTGGGAGACAATGGTGTCAAAGAAGATGAGATGAAAAGAACTATGACAACAATTCCTTTCACTGCAGGAATGGTAGATCTTCTGAGTTTTGTTGGCGAGAACAAAGAGTTGTTTGACTGCATAATTGTTTCAGATTCTAATACAGTATTTATTGACTGGATTTTGAAAGCTGCTGACTTCCATAAGGTGTTTGATGAAGTGTTCACAAACCCTGCAGCATTCAGCAGTACTGGCTATCTTACTGTGCAGAACTTCCATACTCACCATTGTGCAAAGTGCCCTAAAAACCTTTGCAAAAGGAAAGTTTTAAAAGAATTTCTAGATAAACAGTTGGAGCGAGGAGTAAGTTATACACAGATTGTATATATAGGTGATGGTGGGAATGACTTATGTCCAGTAATGTTTTTGAAGAAGGATGATATTGCTATGCCCAGGCAGGGGTATACCCTGGAGAAAAAGATTTCTCGGATGTTCCAAGATCTCAGTCCTGTAGAGTGTTCTGTTCTGGTTTGGTCATCTGCTACTGACATTATGTCTTACTTGAAAGGGCTTATTAAGAAATAATGGAAATTATAAAAAGAAACTAATATATTTTATCTTCCTGGGAGAGAAGAACCACATGTGTATAAAAGCACAACATTGTAAAATTGGCCTGGTTTATGAACTTTTGTTTTTTAAACATGACATGAAACTGTTTATGTTCAATCTTAGGAATAGTGGGAAAGTGAAGTTAAAATGACTGTCTAACATAGTACACATTCCAACATAAGTGGAGAAGGGGGGATTGACTGCAAGAGGAACTGCTGTTATCCTTAGTCTTTTCCCTCTTTTCCAAGACTTAACTGACTTTTGTGTTCCAAACACTTAGAGGAAGGAGTAGGATTAGTGCACAAAAGAATGAAACTCTTTACTTAGAAAACATGGCTCTGGAACATGAGCTGTCATGGCTGTTATATCTCTTTGATCAGGATAAATACAACTTCTGTAAATTATTTGTTATGCTTATGCTGTTGTTTGATCTGAAGATGCATTTATATTTTCAATATACTTAATATTTTACCAAACAATAACTTTTTCATAGTTTATATTATCATATATTATAAAGACAATAAAAGTCCTTGTCATTGACAAAAGCAGCACACCTAATCTGTGATGTATTCTGCTGGCCTGTGTCACTGGGCACATTCTTGTAAGGGCCTGGAGGGAGTGAAGACATGTTTGTCAGCCTTTATTTTGTCAGTCAGACCCCTTCTCTTATGGAGAGCAGTAAGGCTGTTACTGTTCTGTTTAAAGAAAACTCACTCTTGCATTCTCCTGCCTACTGTGCCAGTGTGCTGCTGCCACTCTCTAGCACTAAGGCTGGTTTGATCTTCCATACTGACAGCTCCGAGTCAGCCAGGTGCTTTTCTTCTTGCTGGTTTTCTGCTGCAATGCACAGACCCACAGAATGGTGCATATGTATAAATGTTTACACTGATTTTATCCATTCTGTCTCATACATATCACTTAAAGGGTGGCAGGGAACAGCAGTCTCCATTTAAACTTTTTAACAAAATTGTTCTGTCTTTACAGAGTTTAGGGAATTGTTAGTCAGCATTTTATATTCTTCACATTGAGATGAGACCCAAGAGTTGGACTATACGTATAGAGATATGTCTCCTTACAGTTAAATAATGCATTTTCATGCCAAATGTTTTCCTTATAGTCCCACAAAAAAAGGTCCAAAATGATGGTGTAGTCTGCTATTATACTGATGTCTGCTTTAGCTTAAGTGCCTTAATTGAGAAATTAGTCTAACTTTTGCAGCACTTTGGTTTCAGAAGACTGAGGTATAACTCAGCAGTCTGTAATTTGCTGTAGCTGTCTTCCTCTGTTTTCTGTGCAGTGTTGTTCTCATTTTCTTACAGACGTTTGATGTTGTCACTACCTTCTTTTTCTCAGTTGGAAGATTTTTAGTAAAAGTCTTGCTTGTTTTCAGGCTGATAATGTATATAAATTAAGATTTCCTTTGATTGCTTCCTTGTTAATGGTCCTTTACCTATTAGAATAAATTGTAGAAGGTTGTTTTGAGTAGTTTGTCATCTAAGATGTCCAGAATAATGCACTTGAGTTCTCAAGAACATTGCTTTAATGATGGATTTTTTAATGGTTTCCTGAGATATTTGTGTTGGAGATCTTACTCTATTATAGTCTTGTGCAAGGGCACAAAGACAGCATCAGAAGAACTGGTGGGTCTCAAGCTGTGATGTGTTTAAGTTGTCTGATTTGCACGTCATACAAAAGAATGTTAATAGGTGTTGCATATTATAATTTGGTAAGGTTCTTTAATTTTTTAAAAAGTTTTTTCTCTCCTGCATTCTAGATGCGCTTGCAGTTCGTCCACAGATCTCAGTTAGTGCTTGCTTAAAAACAAAGAAAAAAAACAGTATATGAATAATTATTCAGTTTTTGGGTTTTGTGTTTTGTCATATTTGGGTTTTGTGGTTTTTTTTGTTTTTTAGTTGTTTGTTTTTTTTATTAACTATGTTCTTCTGACCTTAAAGAATCTTGTAGTTTGCTGTGAAGGTGAGAAATTAATCTTCATGCTCAAAAAGGGTGTTTTTGTGGTTTTGATCAAAGTACTGAAGCAGGAGTTGAGAGCAGATTAAGCAAACTAGGATACTTGAAATCTAATCGATTATGATCTAATAACTTGAAGTAGAGAGGGTAGAGCTGATGCTATTTGCTAGACAAAAAGTGCATGTTGGAGACTGGATAAATTTTTCAATTCCAGTATGAGGTCTTGGTTTTTTTTTTCCTCTTAATAACCTTTCTTAATAACTTTTCCTCTAATAACTTCACTGAAGCAGCACACTTACTGAATTTCTCTACATTTGGGTGAGGGGAGATGAGTATCTCCTAAGAGTGAAGCTGGTTTAAGCTGGTAACCCAAACAAAAGTGAAAGGGGGAAGCTCCTTGAAGGGATGCACCTTAAGTACTTGGTGCTTCTGATCTCCAGACCTGATGATGGTTTAAGTAAACATGTGCTCTGGGAAGGAGATGACTTAGGTAAAGATGTTATGAGAACAAGTATGTAACAGAAGATGTGTGTGTGTGGGGGAGATTTTCTGTGTGGTAACAGATCTGCTGTTGTACAGCAGGTACTGTGAAGAGTACTTGGCCTTACTGTTATGTGCTAGTAGGATGGCCAAGACCTCAGAGAAGTTCTGCTTGTCCATAGGAGACTGATGAAATTGAAAGTGCAAAACCAGAGCAAAACAAAGTGGTTGGCATGGGGATGTATAAACAGACTTAGGGCCATACAAGGGAATGCTCCAGGGAAA